GAACTGTAGAACTGCAGTCAGCTAAAGTAGCCTGCAGTGCTGCATTTAACCACTGCGCCACCTCGGCTCTCACTAAGGGGCTGCCACAAAGAATAAGGAATCAACCTTCAATCAAGGGTTGAATGAATCAAGAATGAGGGAGTCAAGCTGGGACTCCACAAATATTGAAGTTGAGAGATGGTGATCACTTCTGACCCAGTTTACATATGCTGAAACATATGGAGGAATGTTAATTGCTTTCTCACAGGAAAACCAGAACAAATAAGGTCTGGCATCACTTTTCTTAGGAATGGAGCATTATTTGAAAGTCACACATGTTAGGTCTGTCCAGAAAACCTGTACTAAGGGGCTCTAAACCCCTTACCATAGGACACAGCTGGGGATTACTGTGTTGGATGGTTTCCCTTTTCAGGCAACACCCAGCAACCATAAGTCTATGCACTTTCCCAAATTCTCTACTATTGGTTCCCCTCCATTCATGAGAGGGAGCAGAAATGATCCTGTGGCCAAACTTGGTGTCCTTCCTAACTTTCCTAAGAGGTGATTTTATCCTCTATTCTCAGTTGTTTTTTTCCATTTTAATTCTTGTACATCAGAATGTTCACTGTTATTAATTTTAGTATAATTGATATTAAGGTAATGCGTATTGTTGTAAACACTTGGATTATTGCTTCCTAAAATGATTTGTACCCAGACAACACAGTGTTCAATAGTAGTTGGAAGATTTTATATGCTGTAAAATAAAGTAAAAACTTATTACCAAAAAAAAAAAAGAAAGAAAGAAAAAGAAAATAAAGTTCACTGAAGCAACAATCATTTTAGGTGTCCAATATGATGTCCAGTTGGTGGAGTCTGGAGGGGATGTGAGAAGACCTGGAGAGTCCCTTTGTCTCTTCTGGCAAGGTCGTGGATACAACGTTGCTGACTACAGCATGAACTGGGTGAGATAGGCTCCTGGGAAAGGCTGGAATGGGTGTCATATATAAGCTACCATTCTGCTAATTTTTACTGCTAAGACCAAGTGAAGGGCAGCTTCACCATCTCCAGGGACAATGCCAAAAGCCAGCTGTACCTGCAAATGAACAGCCTCAAACTGAAGACCCAGCTGTCTATTACTGTGCAACAGGCACAGTGAGAGGAAATGAATCTAAAACCAGATAAGAACTTTCTCTCTCTTAGAGCAGATCTCCAAGTGGATTCAGTCTCAAAAAGTTGAATTTGAGTCTTTCAATTGAGTAGCAGGTGATCAATCTACATCTACAAGTGGAATATGCCATGGATCACTGTTCTGACCCAATCCTCCGTCCAGTAACAAAAGCCGAGACAAGCTTAAATGGAATGTCCTTTAATAACAAGACCTAAATCTCAGTGGCTGAAAGCCAAGTAAACACCTAGATAAGGAATTTGGCAGGAAGACCGACAAACCTTGGCAGCAATGTAAACAAACTCTGGCAGCAATCCAGCCTGCCAAGTTAGTTTCACTTTAGTCCAAGTGTTGACTTCTGCAAGAAGGGCGTGGCACAAGCAGTTTCTTTTATAGTCTGGAGAGGAATCTAAAGACCATCAGCTGAGCGTAATCACCTCCTGTAATTACGTAGTTGTTCTTGACGTCGAGTAGCTCTTTGACGGCGTGCATCCCGGAAAAACTCACTGTTGGTTTCTGGATCACTTTGTCTTGTCTCCTCCCCACTGACCCAAGAGTCAGGCGCCACCTGGTGGCCAACCAGTCTCTCTGCGCCCTGCTTGGAGTCGGAACCCTGTCCAGGGTCCTCCATATCTTCCAGGGCCGACTCATAGGGCCCCTCGCTGTCAGATTTTGGTGGCAGCTCCAACAGCT